GGGGGGGGGGGAAGGGGCCACAAACGGGGCCTCAATGCATTCAGCGCGACTTGGCAACGGCGCATTTTGTTGTATTACAGGGCCGAACGAAACAAACGGGTGAGCGTGGCACGACGGGCCATAAGAACTCTGCGACGGCTTGTGATATTAAACCGACGTGAGCGGGCAGAGTTGTCGACGGCAGGGAGCGGGGGGCATTCGAGTGAGAAAGCCTGCGCCTGTGTTGTGTGTGGAACTTGGAACACCCAGGCACAGCTGGAAGACACGTTTCAAGCCGCCAGTTTGGGGCACAGTCTCGAGGCCGTTTCTCGGAGTCTCTAGATCGTTCCCGGAAAGAACATGCTCACGCTCGAGTGATAAATTCATGCTCTGGAATTCGGTCGCCCTCTTTTTCGTTCTAATGGTGAGGAGAATTATTCATTCAGTGAAAATTATTGATTTGTTAATTACCGGGGGCTGACCGTTGAGGTTAGATTGATCTTCGCTGGTCGACGATCCGTGCAGTACTGAGGGCTTGGTCATCCCCCACGCTCCTTTACATGCGCTGACTTTTTGCGTGGGTGAATGGCACATCTTGGCGAGGGGCCGGGTAAAAGGGTGGGTGGTGTTAAAGTGCATAGGCGGTTATAAAGGCAGTTTTTTCCGTTTTAATTTGTGAGTGGCTAGTGTGTGCGCAATTATTGATTGGCTGGCAATTTCGTTCGCAGCCGTCGCAATGGCCTTTCGGAGGGACTGGCTATATTCTTCCTTTTTGCTCAGGGGCACCTTGGCCGCGGAATTCTTCATTTCCCCTGAGTTTGTTTGTATTGATCTCAGACAAAAATAGTTGGGCAGTTGCTTTTGAAAATTTCATTTAAAGAATTTCAACTGCCCGCAGAAATTCATTTAAAACTCCTTTATTAGGCCATTGTACACTCACTGTTTGCAATTCTATTAATCAATTGGCAGAGGATGTGAATGAAAAATTTCGAAAATTGAAAAATGGGGCAGAAAAAAGTGAAAAAAAAAATTGTTTTGTGTCACTTTGCCCATTCCCTACGAATATAGGTTTTTTAACCGTTAATTTACATCGCTTCGACCCGGTTAGGGTATACTCCCATGATGAACAAGACGTTAAATGGTTAGATCGCATTCTACCCGGCCGGGATTTGAACTCGAAACCTTTCCCATGTGAGGCAACGAACTTACCCACTCCGCCAAGCCAGCGGGGAATATACAATTTAATAGCATGAATTGCGAGAAAAAAAATCAATTCCTTTTGCAGGGACTGGCAAATTTTCAGTTCCCCTGGCTTCATTTGTATTGATCCCATACAAAAATAGTTGAGTACAATTGCTTTTGGAAATTTCATTCTAAAAATTTCAACTGCTCGTATAAATTCATTGGAAAATTCCATCATCAGCCCATTATGCAGTCACCAATTGCAGTTCTATCAATCAATAGACAGAGAATGCAAATAAATAAAAATTTTGGAAATTTCCTTGATCGTGTTAAAATCATTAGGGAAGTGTGGGGCGAAAAAAGTAAAAAACAAATGTTCTTGTTTCTTGTCTACAATTAAATACCCTCAATTTCCGGAAAAAAATAATCAATTGTTCCAATTCTCAGAACCATAAAAACGATTAGTCATTAACCAAAATAAGTTTCACATCTCGAATGCTCTATCCATGACATAATTACATCAGACTGTAATCTCCCCTGTTGACGTTGAAAAATATATTTCACGATTCTGGCTGAAAAACAGTAAACAAAGTTCAGTGAATTCCAATATTCCACTGGTATCTCGTTCACGAGAGATAAACTGAAGATGACAGGGCGTGCAAGCGAGAAAGCCACAGGACAAAAAAAGCCGCCCGATAGATACGTAGGCGTCTGCGCATGAGTAGATATACTTGGGGATGAGTAAACAAAACGATCACGCAGTCAGGCCGCGTGGGCTGATGATCGGGCGGCGGAGAACAAGCGAGAGCCATTCGTTGCGTTGTAGTTCAAGGGGATGCAGTGAATACGTTCAACTGGCGTTTCACCCAAGGTTATAAGGCTAGAAAGCTCGACTTAATGACAAAACTTTTCTGTTGAATCGAGCTCAACCGTGCGCGAACCCAAAACTATCATGAATTTGCTATCACTCCATTGCACCGTTGTTCTCTCTGCCTTTTCCATTTCCAATTATCGGTTTTTCACGTGTGTTTTACCCTTTGTGATTGCAGGCGAGAGCACTGGAAAGCCAATAATTGATACATTTGGACGAACCATTTGGACGGTAAATAATAAATAATTCAGAAATGATGGATTATATAGGACACAGAAGGGATGCACTGATGAGGGATAATCTAACACCACTGAAACCGTCGGAGAATCTACGACTGCCAGGCCAATGTCCAAGCCCACCAACAGCCAACAATCAGAATCAAGTTGACGAAGTGGATAATCGCGATTATCGTTTGGAATCAGCAAGACTAGCGAGCTATGAAAATTGGCCAGCGACATTCATGGATGCTGGCAAATTAGCAGCTGCTGGATTTTATTATACTGGTGAAATTGATCGTGTTAAATGTTTTGAGTGTGGTGTTGAGATATTCGAGTGGGTTGAGGGTGATAATCCAATGTCGGATCATCAACGTTGGAGGTCGACGTGTAAATTTGTACGAAAACAGCCGTGTGGTAATGTACCAATTGGTGTTGATCCGAATACAGTGCCAGTGCCACCACCGAGAAGTAGAGATGTTTGTGGACGTTATGGTGAGGATTATCGGCCAAATGCCTCGCCTGATTTTCGCACTGGACAGACTGAGTTCCAATTTCCGAGTACAGCTAGACTAGGGAGTTTGAGATTGGCCAAGGCCAAGGGACCAACTCATCCAGAGTACGCTAGCTATGATGCTAGGTTGAGGACATTTGATAATTGGCCAAAGTCAATGCCACAGACAAAGGAGCAATTGGCTGACGCTGGATTTTATTACACTGGACGAGGGGATGAGACACAGTGCTATCTGTGCGGGGGTGGGCTCAAGGATTGGGAGCCCAAGGATGACCCCTGGGAGCAGCATGCCATGTGGTTCAGCAAATGCTATTATGTGCTTATGGTCAAGGGACAGTCGTTCATTGACAGTGTCAATGGACAGACCGTACCACCACCTACAAGAGAGGTGAGATTTTACATTCATTTTACATTTTCTCAGGTAATATTCTATTTGTTCTGTTCACGATATGTTGAATAGCCATTGAAAATCTTGGAATTCAGTTATCACTGTTTCCCAGAACAAGTCAATTCTCCATATCTTGATGAGGAATCATTTTATCGGAAAATGCTGATAGATTATTTCTCTTTAGATAGAAAAAATCTCAATGTTATCGAATCACTTGAATGAGATAATTTTTTTTCCTTCCAGGAAACACTTCAGATGCATTTGCCCAGCTTCATTGAGAAGGTCAAACAGCCCCCACAATCAGAGGCAGAGGAGAAGGCCGAGGGCGAGGCAGCCAAGGAGCCGGCACCAGAGACAGCGTCGTCATCACGCCCAAATACACCACCCAAGAGTAAAAATGCTGATGACGCGAGGATGTGCAAAATTTGCTACAACGAGGAATTGGGTGTTGTGTTTTTACCCTGTGGACACATGGTGGCATGTGTCAAGTGTGCACCGGGTATGACATCCTGCGCTGTGTGCCGGGAAAAGGTTACAATGACCGTTCGTGCTATAATATCTTAGTACTGCGAAGCGTGAAAATTTTTCTCTCCTAAATTTTTCCATTCGGCTTCGATGCCAGTGGAAGAGAAAAGATACTAAATCCCTGATGATATAAAGTAATACGCAAAGTTTGTGAACATATTTTTTCCGCGATGATTAAATTAATAATGGAAAATTATAAACTCCTACATTCATTCGGGTATGACTTTGCGCCTGCTAAATGACATGACTCATGGAACATATCGCTATCAGGCACTGTTTCAGGGGCTATTTAATGGTAATTGGATACCATTGTCTTGACGTCAGACGTCTAAAGTGGTAATTCAATGATGCAAAGCTTTACCATTGAGAGGAAATTTTTTTTTCAATATTTGATTTTTTTGTGGATTAATTAACAACTCGCAATGATTACTTTTGGTGGAAATCCAATTTACATTAAACCCGAAACCGCACCTGATTCTCGATAAATTGCTATTTTTATGGAACATTAAAAATTGGCTGTTGCACTTCCTACAATAAATAAGAAAACTGCGCGAAATGAAAACTTTAAGGTGTAAAAAAGGATGAGAAATGTGAAAATGTAGAGAAAAAAATAGCAAAAACTGTCATGACGTCTAGTCGTTTTTCAGTATATCGCGTTTGCGTTAAAGTTAAAATAAAGGAAGTGAAAGTATATAAAATTTTACTTGCGTTTTAATTCTAACTTTCTTATGATATAAAAAAAATAAAAGCAAATTTAAAAGAATTAATAATTGTTCAAAGTGTTCTATAATAAAAAGGTAAAATGAATGATGTAAAAATATGTATTACTAATTAGAAAGAAAGATAGTTTTCATAACAAATTAATGGTCATAGTTGACGGGCTTTTTAAACACTCTGTGAAGCATTTTCTACCAATTTTTTTAAAGTATTTTAATCCGTCAAACTCATACGGTCAAAGTTTCAAGGTGAAAAAGAAGATTAAAAAATACTTTATGAATGCATTGACGTACATGAGACGTGTGGAACTGACATCACAGTTCCGTTTTTAATAAATCGCAGATGTGAGTCACAGAGCAGACGAGTTTCTGCATGTTACAAAAGCACCACTCACGCATTGACAGCTGAAATTTATGAAACAGACCATTCATTTGCCCCCTATGCGCCACTCCGCGAGGGTATAAAAAATACCGAGCTTAAATGGCCGAAAAATCAACGATAGAAATCGTAGGAACAGACATTGCGGGGCTGGGAAATTTCAGCAACGCTTTCTTTTTCATAATGTTGCTAATTGGAAGAAGCCGGGATAGATATATTTATGCACTACAATCGTAAAAGATTCATTTATTTTAGAATTTAACGGGTTTATTGGTTGGGTTATAAGACTTATTAAATCAGATTCCTCTGCTGAATGCGTCGTGAAATTTCATTTCCTTTTTTTCGATTTCACATGGCACGTAACTGTTCTCGGGTGATATTAACGCAGTAGTTAACACTTGATAGGTCCAAAGGATTCTTCACGGATATATCCTCCACTTCTTACTCTCCAAGAAACAAAAAATTGGTTCTAAAGTTATTTGAGTTGATTCTATTTTTAAAATTTTTTTCTTTTAATTTCTGGTGTGCCTTGTCCCCTGATCGTTCGATATCTAATGGACCTTTGATACCCACTGTTCTGTCTGAACAAGCAAGGATATACTGAATTACAATACCCCCTCTTGTAAGTGAAGAAATTCAATACAAAGATAATAACAATGCAAATCGAAGATTGCCTCCGCTCGCGATGAGCAAAGGTTCCATTTATATATTAAAATAAGCCAAATTTTTAATTTCAATGATTTTCTTTTTTCTTTGAATATATTAAAAAACTATTCCTGGGTCGGATTTCGTATGTGAATTCCATGAATCATGCTAGTGATAGAAAATTTACGCGAAAATTTATTTTAAAGCACAAGTCCATTGATGTGAAGGAAAATTGAAATTTTTATGTGGTCATTTCCGAGTATCAGGACTTTTTTAAAAGTTATTCTTTCGTAAATATGTATTAGGAACTCATGCCTTTATTATACAAACGTGCGCAGTAAATCGTAGGTTTAAGGCCCGATTCCACCAAGCCCTGTTGAAAAAATCTTCAGTTGAGAATCGATCGATATAAATGACAGTAATTTGCCGATAATTTTTTATCGAGAGTTGATCGACGATTATTCATAAAAATAACGTGGTATATCGGTGTATCGTCACTATTTGCTGGTAATACCACAAATGATGAAGTATTTACTCGATATTCACCAGCGAATGGCTGAATATGACGATGAATTCCCGACGAATTTAAGATTGTTTACCCGGGGAATAAAATTACTTCTGACATAATTTTATTCTCAGAATTTATTTCGTAACCCGGGCTTGGTGCAAGCGGCTCTATGTTTAACAACATAAGCCTCCTCAAGGTCGGAAACCTGATATGAAGGATGACGATGTAACACGTTAATATCAGTATTTTTCATCGCAAAATATTCTACTATTCTTCAAACAGAATGTGATCAATTTCGTTTCTATTTCCATTTATTTTCAGTTTTATTCCTCTATGAAATTATAATAAATTGTTTTTCAATTGGGAACGCGACCCGATTTGATTTCAATGGATCTCGTTAAAACGAAGAGTAGCGAACGTACCATATCAGACATATTTTCGAGAAGTTCAATGGATTACGGATAATATGAGAGTCGTTTCAGAATGTTGTTGTAAAATTATGTAAACTAATGTTGTATGGACGTGGAGAGAGTTCACGTTTACAGAAAATCGGGTCGCGTTTCGTAAACACAAGATGTTAAATTCATGTTTATGTACAAAAACGCCTATCTCAACATCTCTTTTTGATTATAAAATACAAACAGAAAAAGTGTCATTGTATTTATCATTTATATCAACCGTACGCATGTACACACTGATAATATAATATACATTAATATTGAATAAACTGAAGAAAAATCATTCAATTGCAGAGTTGCTTATTTTATCCTGAAATGCCTGAGGGAATGAGGTAATTTGTCTAATAAGACAAGCATTGAATATTTGGGTAAATTGCAAAACGCAACGTTCTCAACGAAAAATAACTTGAGATTTGATGATGTACGCATTTTTCTCAGTCATTTATCATAAATTGATAATGCCCGTGGGCCGCATTTCAAATATCATTACATAGTATTAAGGCCTTTTTTTCCCTTCATTATGTCCTTTTTTGTTCAATGAAGAAAATGCAGCAGGGCAACAAACCGGTATCACAAGAGTCAAGGGACCAGTTTTATGAGGCCCTTGCATTCCATTCTCGTGGGAACGATCGGGCAAATGTACAGTGTAAACGAACGGCAAGCCTCTCCAGCCTCTCAGTTCATGCTCTCTCTTTTCTATAGGATAATACCTCCCGCTCGAACTGCGGAGCACGGTACGTAGCTGGAAATATCCAGAGAGAGAGGCGGATTCATTCATCTATACAGAATAGTCTAGCATCCGGCCGACATTCCATCGGGATGAAAGCATCATTTTAGCCCGGATATCTCATTTTCCGCCTTGTAATTTCATAACCAGTTGAATTTGATGATGATCACTCTTGATGGGTTTTTCACGAACAGTGAAGAATACTTTAAAAAACAATTCTAGAAATAATGACTTTTTTCATTATAAATAAAAAAAATATGTCATTTTTTTGTAAATTTTTCGATTGATCTTCCATCGCTTTTTCGGATTGTTTCAGGGAAAAAAGAAGGAGTTTGCTAAATTTTATTCAGCGAAATCAAAGGCACGTTCCGCGCGCATATCAACACGATAGATCGGTCAAACGATTCAGCGTTCTCATTGTCAATGTAATACAATTCCTCATTCTAATACAATTCACATTATTCAGGAGAACGGATATTGAATAATTAATACCAATTTTTGCGCAACATTTCGAAGTGAATATCGAACAATTTCAGTGAACGATAAGAAACATTCTTATTGGTCTCCTTTTTGTTATAGAGATGATTGTTACAATGAAAACAGCAAAAATTTTTACAACTGAGCTTCATGATGTACAAAAGAATGCTATATTTAAAGAATCCCGTTAATAAAAAATCCAATTAATGTTTTTTGAAGCCAATCTATTCCGCCGAACGTTTTTCATTCTTTAGTATATAACAGTAGATTTCGATACTAGCGCGTAAAAGTGTTTTTTGAGCCGTGGGAGGTCTGTACCCTTCCCCTGGGTTAAAGAACACTTTTCCCACGAGTGTCGAACCCTATTTTTCATCATAATGTGCGTAAAATTTCACTTTCCACACAAGTGATGAAAAATTTGTATTATAATACAGTAAATCGAGAAAAGGGGTATTTAATACACTCACGCGAGTTGTCTGGGATTGTTTAAAATATGGTTTGGAATTTACTGAATTACTCGAGCATTTTATCTTTTCCATGTGCTATTCTCCAGGCTGAAAATTACCAGTCTATATTTAGATTTGATTCATCTCTTCGTACGAAGGAGAGAATCCTCAGTTGCTCAATAAATTGTTTTTTGATTGTCCAATTTGCGATAGTTTCAAGATGGCCTCATTAGTTCGCTGTTTTTTTAAATTTTTGCGCGATGAAAATTTCAACAGATTGAAAATTTCCATAGGATAATATAAACATTACGCTTTGAATTTCGAAACTTCCCGATTTGATTGGTCGCTCTCTGTTAGCAGCTATGAGAAATGCTCAAAATCAACTGAAAATTATGTGGAGCAGTGATTTTCAATTTTCCCTTTCCCAAGATAATTGAGGATTAAATGGGGGNGTACAATCTTACTTAGATGGATCCATTCCGTTTTGGACAAGTTCTAGGGAAAATGGCGACAGTACGGAGGCAGTGGAACATATGAGCATGGAAATTTGTGGACACATTCCCGGATGGGCAGATTCTCATCAGGTGGTTAAACAGGGCTCGGTGTTGGAGATATCTTCAGGAAATGCCGCACCAGTAGACATTTTCAGGGTAGCGGTACGGTGAAAGATAGCGGGATTATTCTCACTTCAAGCGACATTACTAACTGAATCGAACTGGCCATCGGGCAGTAGAATATAATAAATTGAATCAGCCAGAGGAGAAGTAAATGAGCTATTAGCAACGGGAGGAAGATTCTGTACGGTGCATTTGGAAAAGCCGCCGATCTTTTGAACGGTACTCATCAATTTCGGGCGAATTTTTAGCGCACACTCGGAGGCGCCAGAAATTTCATTTTCACCTGGGGCCAAAGTGTCATATCTTGGATTTTTCCAGGCGAAAAGTCGACTTTCGGCAAAATGGAATTTTTTCGCCGAGTGAAAGTTGATTCCGACTATTCACGTGACGGGCTATCCATAACTCTCAATAGTATGTGGGAAAAGGAAAAAATGAAAAAAAAAAATTTTTTCACCTGAGGGCAAAGTGTCATATCTTGGATTTTTCCAGGCGAAAAGTCGACTTTCGGCAAAATGGAATTTTTTCGCCGAGTGAAAGTTGATTCCGACTATTCAAGTGACGGGCTATCTAGAACTCTCAATAGTATGTAGGAAAAGTAAAAAATGAAAAAAAAAAAATTTTCACCTGAGGGCAAAGTGTCATATCTTGGATTTTTCCAGGCGAAAAGTCGACTTTCGGCAAAATCGTATTTTTTCGCCGGGTGAAAGTTGATTCCGACTATTCAAGTGACGGGCTATCCAGAACTCTCAATAGTATGTGGGAAAAGTAAAAAATGAAAAAAAAAATTTTTTCACCTGGACCAAAGTGTCATATCTTCAATTTTGTTAGAGGAAAAGTCGACTTTCGGCAAAATCGTATTTTTTCGCCAAGTGAATGTTGATTCTTCATTAGTACGTCATTAGTTTTTTAAAATTACTAATTAATTGTGTAATCCTTAAATACTGAAAAATGCATTACATTCATCTGCTAATGAATTAGAAGTGTTTTACCATCGTCATTTGTTTATGAATAATAGTTTCCGGCTGACAACCTATTGCTCTAGTTCGATTCAATTTGTAATTCCGCTTGAAATGAGAATAATCCCGCCATCTCTCAACGTGCCGCTGCACTAGAAAATTCGATTGGTAAGACGTTTTCAAAGGACATCGGCAATATCGAGCCCCTTTTAACCACCTCATCAGAATCTACCCCTTCGCGAATGTGACCACAAATTTCCGTGTTCATCTGTTCCATCGCCTCCCGTACTGACGCCATTTTCCCTAGTACGTGTCGAAAACGGAATGTGTCCACTGAGGTTGTACCAGATTGTACAACCCCCCCCCCTTTCATAGGAACTCATTTTTTTTGTCAAAGTGCATTGCAACACCAGAAAATGTAAATAATTATCTGTTTTTTACGAAGTAAATAAGTTTTGAAAGACAATGCCCGATTTATTTGATCTCGCAAATTTGATAAAGAACGTGGGTGTTGATGCTGTCAAAATAAAACAAGAGCCAGGACTACCCGAGAAATCATCCACTGAAATTTTAACAGAATTATTCAGCACCTTCGATGCCGATGATTTGAACAACTCACAGGAGAATCAGGATGATGATTCCAATGCAGGTGACAAATCAAAGAAGAGAAAAAAAAAGAGCAAGAAGAAGCACAAACACAAGGAGAAAAAACACAAGAAGAAAGAGAGGAGTGGGACTGACAGTGAGGCCGATAAAGACGGTAAATAAATTATTCATTTTACTTAATCCACCGTCATTAAACAGTTATTCCACCAGCAGGGGTAAAGAAGAAGAAAAAGCACCGAAAAAAATTGAAACGTAGGAGAAATTCAGGCTCGGCTGGCACGTCAGATTCGGACGAACCGGCTCTCAAAATAAAGAAAGAATTCTCTCCGAATGGAGCGAAGAGAAATGAAGATGAGACAGCACCTGAGACGATGTTCGACCTGGTGCAGAAAATGGTGAAAAAAGATCCCGACGCAAAAGTGGCTGAGAATGGCTGTGATCCAAAAAAAAATGCTGAGAGTCCGAAATCACCGTCAGTATCGAAGAACATTGAAGATAATTTCGATGACTCAGTGGCTCCTAGATTACCTGGTAGTACAATCATCTTCAATTATACCCTCAAAAATACTTTAATTAATTCCCATTTGTCATCACGATGTGATAACGCTTCTTTGATTTCCTAGAAAAATCAGATCAACCGGGGAAACCGAAAATTCTGATTAAAGACCTGAAGAACAGTGTTGTCTACAACGAAACAGTGAAAGAAGTGGAGAATATAGAGAAGGAAAAAGCAGCACGAGTGGAGGACGGTGAGATATCAGACAGTGACGAGGACAACAGAACGCCAACGCTGAGTCCAACCCCCCCTCCTGATTCGTTTGATCTGTCTGACAGTCCTTCGTCAAGTAGAAAGCAATCGAGATACCAAAGAGAAACTAGTCCTGGACCTTCGATGAAAAAAGATCTTCGATATATTTTGAAGAAGAAAGAGAAGATCAAGAAATTGGAGAGTCGCAGGAGTTCTCGTAACGAAGAGGATTCTCAAGATAAAAATAGAGAGTCACATGGCAAGAGTTCAAGGAGCAGAGACAGTAAAAGAAGGAGCAAAGATAGTCCTTCGAAGGACAGAAAAGAGTCTGATTCAGCTATTCACCATGGCAATAGACGAGATCGCAGTCGAGGGAGGGAGAGTACGAGAACGAGGAGCACTGAGAGGAGGCACAGGGACAGGAGTGGCGAGAGACGATCCACGAGGAGTAGAGACAGAAGCAGATACAGCTCCGACAATTTTGGCAGTAATCGAAGCAGGAGTGTGGACAAACATCGGGATAGGTATACGCGGGGACGAAGTAGGAGCAAAGAGAGAAAGTAAGTTCACGTCAGTTATTTCCAATTGTTATTAATTGAGGAAGATTGGACCCTCATCTGCCACTTCTGCTGTTTTCAGGGAGCGAATTGAAATTGACAAGAAGAAACTGCTGGAAATAGCAAGGCGGAATGCTATAAATATGATAAAACGAGGAACTCTACCTCTGGCCCAGCAGGACAAAGCTATTGCTGCCATTCAAGCTGGTGGAAAAACTGTCGATGAATTGATAGGTATTAATTATTGTCTTTTAAAAAATTGTGATGACAAAAATTTACAGTAAAGTGGTGGAAATATCTCGTTTTTTGTCAACAGATTTTTGTAAATCTCTTTCGAAGTCTGAAGCACTTGGGGAGCTCTCGAGTGTCTCCTCTGATGAGGGTGGGAGTGAATCGGAAAAAGGTTTTCATCATCCATTCTTGTTGAAAGAGCGACCCAATTCAATTATAATGAACATACGAGTAAGTATAATCATCCTATAATTCATTATCTCAATAAATTTCAATTTTTATTTAATTGAATAATTATTTTGGCAGGACTCCAAACAAATACCCACAAAAACGTTCCAAGAGAGGACAGCAGAGTCATCGAACCAACTGCGCCTTCAATTTCCAGTGTCTAGCGGTCAGCAACATCGCAGAAGTGGTGATTGAACAATTTCCTTGAATTAGCCTCTGTGTTGAAATTCATTTCTATTATAATAGCTCATTATTGGTTTTTCTAGAAAATGAGTGGGTGGACGTCACTCCCACCCCACCACCCCCATCAGTTAAAAAATCAGAGCCAAAGAAGCTGTTCGTCCCAGCTACAACTCCAGCTGCTGAAGAACCATTTGCAATACTTCCAACTCGTCCAACTGCCCATTCAAAATCTGTTGAAACACCAACTCCTGAACCAACAGCTGCTCCTTTGATAGGCCCAGTTGCTCCACCAGGTATCCTGCCAGTGGCTCAGAAGACTGGAGTTTTTCCTCAGCTGCCTGTAGAAGTACGTCAATTCTTCTGAAAATAATTCAAGCTCTCAATAATTATTGACATTGTCATAAATTTTTTCGTTCAAATATCTTCGTTAATAAACATTATTTAGGAAATATTCTCGCTGAAAAAAATTTCTTTCCTTTTTAAATTAGTCATTTTGTAGATTAATCAATAATAAAAATTCATATGGAAGTTTTTTTTTACAGAATGTCGACATCGGAACGATAGTTTCTCAACGGTTAGCGGCGATGAGAAAACTCCGAGAGAATCCAAATGACGTAGAAGCCCTCAGTGAAATGTATCACGCACAAAGTGAGGTACACATTGGCCCTAATTAGCCCCGCCCCTCATCAATCCAGAAATAGCTCCAAAGATTGGTGTTGTAATTGAAAGACAATATTTGCAGATGAGAAATTGGGCGGAGAGTAAGCAGATGCCAGGTCAATTCACTGGTAGCACTGGTGCTAGAGTACTAACTCCAGCTGAACTAACATCAGGTTATCAAGCATGGGCACGTAAGGTAATGTCCCCCACGATATAAAAGCCCTCGTCTCTCATTTTCCCCAGAAATTCCAAACTCCGAGGATATTCTTTAATTTTTTCCAACTTCAATGAACCGCCTTCGCTTCGACTTGAATAAATTATTGTGATCGGTTGCTTGTAACAGATTTTCAGGTACAGTCTTGGTGATGGGACTGTGTCGTAGGCACAGACCACTTCTCAAGAGAGAGGTGGATTCTGTGGCTGCGCGGACACGGGAGTAGCGTTGTCTCACACGGGGAGAAAAGTTGGAGAAAAATTACCAAAAATGTCAGGTAATCGTGGAGCGGAATCCATTTATAGGCCATTTGCACTTTTTTTTTGAAACTGCATAATTTACCACATTCATGCTATCAAAAATTGTTCCATAAATGTAAATCACTACTCAATATTGGTATTTAAAAAAATAATTTTAAGAAATTTTATTGTAAATGGGAACAGTAATCGTTGCATCCCTAGATGTATTTTTATTGTCGAACGAATAGTAAGATATCCTCTACTACAATTTCGCTCCACGATTACCTTTCATACAGCAAAGTTTGCCACGATTTTTCAGTACTTTTTATTCAACTTTTCTCTCTGTGCATTAATAAGGTTTTAGTGGCTAATCTGTGGCAAGTATCACAAAGGGATATCAATTTATCAGCCAATACTTCACATTAATAAGGATTATGATGATGTTGGAGGGGAATGAGGCAACGATCTCCCGTGAGATTACAGCTAACTATAATCAGCTTCTCATGATATAGGAAAACATAATGCCGATGATTATGGAAGCTGGAATACTTAGCTCTAGTCTGCATCCACCTGAGGATTTGTTACAGGCAATTATAAGCTTCATAGAAGAGACATCACCTGCTGCCTGATGTGATAGTTTATGATTATAAAGCATTATTGGTAAGTATGTCAACTCCTTCTGGCAAATATTTTGATAAATGCCCTGATTGTTTTTCAATCATCAACATGTCTCATCCAAATTTCTTATTTTTTGTGCAAAAATTGTTCATTCTATTTCAGTTTTCATTGAATATTTTCCATTTATTGTGGAGTGCCAGAACGAGTGTGAAAGGTGTTTATTCTTCAGGAATTTATTTAGTATTAATGATGAAATTGGGATTAGGATCAACTCACATCGGCACAGCCGGTCTCTGGAGGAATGGGAATGGCGTTACTGCAAAAAATGGGATGGCGTCCTGGGGAGGGTTTGGGGAAGAATAAGGAGGGGACCCTTGTGCCATTGCAGCTGGAGGTCAAATTGGATAAGAGAGGACTGGTTTCCGATCAGGATATTGGGCTGAAACCTGGCAAAATGGCAAAACCCGTTGTACCTACGATTAAAACTCTAGAAGGTTTGTAATAGTGTATAACGCAACAGCCAGTTAACAGCATGGCTTGCGATAAAACCCTTTTTCCATTCTCCATTTACAATAGAAAAATCTTTAAACGAGTCCAGTCAATTTCATTTGGAGATCTAATCAGCTTTCTCTCAACGAGCAAAAAAAAATTATGTGGAACGCTACATTTTTCCTTGAATTTGGGGAAATGTATAAAAATTCACTACAAAATTCCCCTAAGCAAATTTTTTTCCATTGTTCAGGCAAACATCCGGTATCACTGCTCGGTGAATTTTGCTCAAAACGAAAATATGGGGCTCCTGTCTACGAGCTATGCTTCGAGTGTGGACCAGATCACAAGAAGAATTTCCTGTTCAAGGTAAGTCACTGTAATAAAAGAGTTTAGTTTTACAAATTATCTCATTATCATGTTTTTTCCCCCTAAACATTAAGGTGATAGTGAATGGAATTGAGTACAAGCCGAGCGTAGCGAGCCCCAACAAGAAGCAGGCGAAGGCTGAGGCAGCGCAGATCTGTCTACAGACCCTTGGTCTGCTATCTGCATGATTTTTATAAAAGCATTTACAAGCAATTGTAAATTGTACATTTTGTGTACCATAGATTTTCTGTCTCTAACCGTGTCTCTCGCCTCAAGATAATAAAGAGGAAGAATGAAAAAGCGTTTTTTATGTTGAAATCTCGTTCCCCTCATTCTTTTACACGAAAACACTGATCTTAACGAATTATACCTCTTGGGACATGTAATTTGCCCGGGTGTATCGCACATAAGTGGTCTCACCTAGATGAAGAATTTATGCCTCGACAGCACGTTTCAGGTTACCAAATGCCCTCTCAATTGTAGCGTATCGGATCTTATAAACGAGACTTCAAGACTTCATAACACTTGAATTGAAAAAAAAGAAGATCGCAGAAGTGTTTGGAGCTGGAATTGAGGCTCATATCGCTCAAAGTGGAATTCCATTATCCAATATTTTCAAACAATTATTTTCCAAGTACATTGGAATGAAGTTTACAGATTTAATATAGAGTATTTTTGACATGGTAAGGTTGACTACTTCCAGACGTTCTAGCGCTAAACGAGTCAGACATGAGGCGTTTCCATCTTTGGGTGGGCCACCTGACCGCTCCGCAAACGTTGATGAGAGATTGATCCCGACATTCTCGAGGCCCACTGCCAAATGATTTCCAACGTTTCCCAGAGCCGCACATTCACTAGCTATTTTTTCGATAATTTCTCATGCCCCGGGTGTTCCAAAAATCATGTGGAAAATGAGTCCCCCACGTAGTGGGTGATAATAGTAATAATGAGAAAGGCAACAAATAAGTGAGGACTAACAGTGACATTCGATCTTAACTAATTTAAAGCAGAATTAAAATGAAGGGTAATGGGAAAATTGAATATAGAAGAAATCTTATATCATTGATGTTATCTAATTATTAAGGAGAGGAGGGGCCTACATAGTTGTGAAACAAAGAAAAACATTTGTAACACCAAAGAGATGAATAAATAAATAAATAAATAAAAATAAAACAGCCGCGATTTCTCAACTACAAGAGATTTGAATTCTATTCTTATCAGGAATGATGCAATAGTACCATTCAGAATGACATGGCAATACCAGAAACATCTGACCAGTATCGTCCATGAGGTAGTCTTCATTTTCCCACTCGTGTGTGCAATCGCATGAGATGAAAACACCCAGTCATCTCAATTGGCGTATACGTCATCGTAAATTCATTTCAAGATCCACGGAATGGTTTACCAATTTATTACATTGCAATGGCATTAATGCATTTCGAGTGTTGCCTGCCTACGATTTCAAATACCTTTAATGGTAATTAGAAGAAATAGAACAAATTGGAGAAAAAACGAGGAAGAATGGAAAAACGTGTGTTACATTTCGGCATTCGACGTGGGCGTGCGGATGTCCCGGGGCCAAATTAGCGTGACGGCTACACGGGCATCAGGAGATAAGGCGTATAACTCTCACATGGCTATCAATACCGGACACGTTGCTACATACGCATATAATCGGCCTTGAAAAAAAATAAATGTATCTTGAGAAATACTATCGTGAGAAGTAGCCATCCTTCTAACGGAGTCTTAATGAATTTTCGTCGACAGTTGATATGACATTCAGCCTCTGTATCATATCACCAGAATGTAAACGGTATAGTCATGTGCCACTTTCTAAAGCCTTTCCTTATCAATTCAATTTTCATATAATTACGGAACAAGTGGGCACCACACTGTTGGAAACTTTTTGAAATTCAAGTAACAGATACATTTGAATTTTCAAGGACAATTTGGATTTTCACACCTATCACGAAAATTAAGCATTACATTCAGAAGAAAAGTTGCCTGAATTTTCACGTTTTTCAGTAATTTTCATTGTCGTATGAACCTGAGAAATAAAATTTCATTGAATATTCAATAAAATTGACTGATTTATCAATAACATGATCAATTCGAAAATCAAGTTAAAAATTTCAAGATTTTTTACTTGAAATTTCAAGAGTAATTTCCTAACAGAGCATTTCACATTGGTGAATTATTGAAATTATGGAAGAGGTAGTAACAAATGGCAGTATTGTTGATTGCAGAGTTGGAAAGAATCTATAGATCAGCGAGTTTAAAATGTAAATCGTATTTAAGGGGAAGGGAGGCGACCCTCGGGCGCACGAATCCATCTCAGAGGAGAAAAGCAACCGCTGTTATTCACATTTTCCAATAAATTACAATTTAAACGTCTACGCGTCACAAACATGCGAAATCCATACGACTAAAATGCACTTCATTTGACTGTAGCAATTGCATAATGACGCACCGAAAATGATTGTACATTGGCTTGCATATGGCTTGTGCATGAAGTGGATATAGTATTCCTCTGCGGGGGATAATGCGAGTAAGTAGAGATCTCTCGTGTTGCTCCGAGGAGAAAAGAGAGATGGAAATAAAAATATGAAGGGACGACGGGCATTATCGTTTACGATGGAATAACAGCGATTACGGGTGTGTCTTGGGGTTCTGGAAAGGTCTACTATCTCGATTTTGACGCATTGTAGCAGCTGAGAAAATATGGGAGGCTTAATCCATTAGCCTTGGTGGAAAAAATTTCATTGTTTTAAGGGGTTTTTTTTTAAATTTCACGTGATGAATGAACATCAGCTTTCGAGGAGAAAAAATGTGTTTGAAAAATCTCACAATCTTTCTATTGTTTTATTTGAACATTAATTCTTATAATGTAAGCGGGGTAAATAATTTTTTTCATTACTTGTGCGTAAAGTGAAATTTTCATCATACTGTACGTAAAACGTCGTTTTACGTTTGACTGTATCCGTAAAACGCCGTTTACGGACTCGTCAGAAATAGTATATTTCAGCACGTGTGAGGCAATATCGTCTTTAACGTGTGTGGGGTTTACAGCATGAGCCGAAGGTGAGTGATGTAACCACACACGTTAAGGACGAAATTTCCCAACAAGTACTGAACAAAATTTTATGTCACGAAGCCTGAAACCGGCTGAATTAGACACGAGACGCGAAGCGTCGAGTGTGTAATCCAGCCGGTTTCAGGCATGAGTGGCATAAAATATATTTCGACACGAGTGCGTAAAAGTGTTTTTTGACACGGAGGCGAGTGCTACCCTCCCAAGCGTCAAAGAACACTTTTCCCAAGAGTGTGGACACCTCTTTTTCATCACAATGCGCGGAAAACGGGATTTTGCGCACGCGGAGCGTGCGTAAATAGCTATTTTCCTCACAAGGCTGTAAAAAAACTTTTCATCACGCTGTGCGAAAAGTAACTTTTTAGGCACGCTTCGCGTCTCTTTTCCACACATTGTGATGAAAAATATCGTTCGATACTCGTGGGAAAAGTTTTTTTTGGCTCGTGGGATTTTATCACTCGCCTTCAGCTCGTGCTATGAACCTCCCACGAGCCAAAAATCTCTTTTCCGCACTCGTAACGAAATATCCTATTTAATTCATCAAAACCTTATTTCAAAAAATTAATTATTAATACTTAATATTTTCATAGGGGAACTATCTTGATAATTACATAGGTTCCGTATTTTACGTTCCTCGCTGGAGTGACCAGAGAGAGAGAGAGAGAGAGAGAGAGAGAGAGAGAGAGAGAGAGAGAGAGAGAGAGAGAGAAAGAGGGAGGGAGAGGGAGAGAAAAAAAAATGAGGATAAATGGGTCCGAGGATTATGAGTGCATTACCTATAGATGGATGGACACGAGGAATGGGGTCTTCATATTGATTGACCGGTGAGTTTACGGCTCGTGCGTCAGTTATTGCTGATACCCTCCTCTTGTCTCTTGCATTTTACTCGGATACAGCTTATCCCCATCGCCATTTCAACCTCCATTATTGATACATGAATATATTTGTAAGGTCAAAATCAACGGTTATCGATTGAATTTAAGTGGCTAACATGAAATCCATATGATTATGATTTTTAATGGACTATTTGAGCTTTTTATTATGAATTAATGCGCATCGCAATCTCGATATTAAAGGTTTGATGTGACATTTATTGCCGGGTGTTTCAAATTCGTCTTCTTCTTTTCCTCAGTCAGACATTCAATTTTTATGCTTTTGCGTGCCAATGTGCGCTGAGAGAATGCCCGAGTGATCAAGTTGAGTATGAATAAGAATTTAAGTTAATGAAAAACGATACGTGGAACGAACGGGTGTCATACGAATGGTGATGCTCGACTAAAGCGTATTATTTATTCATTTCTCGGTAGGAATTCGTCTGATAAGTGTAAAAAGTCCGGCGATGGTATTCAATCAAAAATTAATTAATGCAAAATTTCTCTCACATGGAGCATTAAATAATTGAGAAATACAGGATGGAATGACAATTTTATGTGTTTCATGATTGTTAGTAGTTGAAGTTATAGAAGAATTATCTCAAAGTTTCAGTTATAGGCTATTTTTAAGACATCAACAATCATGTAATACATGAACGGTCAAAAAATATAAATAAAAACATTTAGGCGCTATTGTGCCATTTTTCACTCTGGCGATCACTATTGTCACATTTCCATTCGACGTCTGACCGATAAAAAGAATTTCCCCTCGAATTTTTCTCTCAGGTTTCACGGGGTTTGCAGGAAGGCTTTTCTCTCCGAATAAACAAGAATGAATGCAGAGGTGGAGGAGGGGTAGTTAATACGGACCATCATACAATGGGAAGAAAGAAAACTGTCCGCTGTCAGTGATTTTTCGACAAATTGTCGGAATATTCTTTAGGTGTTGTGGGCGTTCTACGTGACAATCATGTGGGGTTGTCACCTCAAATCCTTCGTACACAGCGCGTTATAATGGCGAACCTCGTGTTTTTCTTTGCTTCAAAAATTAGAATAGAGTATATCCCCGTACTTTTTACAGCTTCATCAATCATCGAATTTGTCAATTCAACTGCATTTAAATTATGTTCCGCAAAAAAATTATTATTCTCTTGAAATATTGCTTTTCTCAGAACAATTTTCTCAATTTCCCAAATGTACCAGATCATAATCGACTCATTTGACGCTGGAGAGTTAGACAAGTGTCGAAAAAAAATCAATGAAAATTTGTTTCACCGCCAACGTCATCCTCTCCCCCAAAAGTAAGAACACCGCATCAATCGATTATTTTCATTTCCCACATAAAGCACGGGTATCAGTGCATAAATTCCAATTAATCGCGTCGATGAGGTGGGACATTGTTAGCCACTGAAGTTCTAAAGAACTTTTTTTCTTGATTCTTTCATTTCATTTTTTTTTTATTGCCAGCATATCTGATGGAGGATTTATATATTGGTGCACGTCAATCGTGTATATGAGGCGTCGATCGAAAACGTACGGGTTGTGGGGGGCATTTCTATAGGTTGGGTGCGGCTTCGAAGCTCTTACAACGGAAAAGGCACATCCCGTGGCCTGTCAAGTGACAGTCGAGGATATACCGGGTGCACGAACGGGCGCGAGGTCGCGCGTGGATCCTCGCCCATCCGGTCAGATTCATCGGTCAGATCATTTTATGCTCTTTTACATTTATTTTTTGATACATTTCTTTTCATGTCAGCCAAATGGACCCACTTACGTCTTCCCCAGCTGTTTTTATCCCCTGCACTCAACTGTCATGGGGAGAAAATAGGAAAAATCGTGGAGTAACGAACGAAAAATATGACATGCCGGAGGATAATTGTATGATTGCGCTTGAGGTGGTTTAAAAGCAGTCATGATGATCTCTAATTTATGATCACATCCCGCACATCAAGATTTGTACCCAATAAGCTACCTCACAGAGCATTAAACACGGCTCAAGGCACTGCTCACACAGTGAAAGGTTTTTGTGTTTTTTTTTTGTTAGCTTAATCTTTTTCAAAGAATAATTAGTACACAACGAATTTCTCATCCCCTTTCTAACTTATTATTCCTCTTCTTTGAGATACTAGAAAGGCTTTCTATTCCAATTTCACAATGGGTGAATTCAATCCTGCGGAAATGATAGTACATTCAACTTGTAGGCTATAAATCAATTAACTAATCTCGTATTCGTAATACTCTCTAATTGATTAATTATCAGTTGGACGGCATGCGTGTGGTCCATTTCTCCGCGGATATACGTTTTTTATTTCATTGAGCGAGGGGTTATTCACTACCGAATATCGTGACACAATGATTGCTGATTTCAAGTGATTTCATAGAATTTTGTCCTCGATTTCAAATAATTTCAAATTTCCAAATTTTTTTTTCCCAAATTTTTTTTTCTGAACAACGGTACTGAACACGTTTAACGGTGAGCTGTGAGATTCTGGAGAAATATCAAAATCAAATCTCTCATCTCACCGATGTAGTGATTGTAAGCGATTTTGAGTGATTTTACTTATTTCAAACGATTATAACATGATTTCACTGATTTCATTCGATTTCAATTGATTTCACGTGATCTCAGAACTGATTTCAAGTGATTTCATCTCAGAGTGACACAATGATTTCGCCAATGAATAACCCCTCGTCATTCAGATCTTTTTGGTAATAATAAGTAGTGGAATTTCGGTTGAGAATGCTTGCCTTTTGGAGATTTAAATCAATTTGCTGCAATCCGTTAATAACCCAGCACTTTTATCGAGGAATTCAAAAACGGATGAAAAATATGAACCGCTGGAAAGCCGCTTACAGCTGCAAGGCTCTTTACAGTGTCTAGCGCCGGCCGGCGACGGGCGGCCCCGTATCAACAAGGAAAAAAAAAATTTGGCGGGTTGAGATCTTTGTTCTATATTCAACAGAGAATCAATAGTTCTTCTTGTTCGGAATTTTGGAGCGACTTAAGATTGAGGAGGGGGTGTCATTGGAAAGGGGGTTGATGATGGTTATTATTTTCTTATTCGATTGATTGATTATTAATGCACTTTATGAGAATGTTTCCAGTGCGGATGGCGCAGTGTGCCTGGCATTTTATAGAATGGTGAATTATCATGATCAATGATTTTCGAAGGAAATGCCAAAAGATATTTCTCTTCCAGAAAGCCGCAGAAAAAAGTATTTGCATATTTTATTAGCCTGAAACCACTTGTTTCCACGAGGAGCACAATTTTGTAGGAAAATTCATGTACTAAACACCGTAAAAGACTTGCAAACCGCACACCAGAAAAATTATGGTGCCTCTAATAATTTTCCCGGTGCTGAACGATAATTTTTCTGTCGCTGCACAATAATTTTTCTAGAAAATTTTTTTCAGCGCAGCATAAATCGACAATCATCAGAAATGAATTCCAATTGACTCATTATGACAGTATTTTTGATGAAAAAACTGTTTTTCTTTGTACTTTGACGATCACCACCGAATTCTCCAGTAGCAATGAGCGCTATTCCCCATAACGAGCGAGCAAGGTCACCATAAGAGCCATCATGCATTGAAGATTCAATTTTCTATGAAACAACAATTCAATCATAGTTTGATCGCTTGAAAAATTAATCGAGGTTCATTGAAAACTACGGAGGGAGAGGGGAGAAAATACGGAGACAGGGAAGAGATGGAAAAAAAATCAGATAAAGTGTAAAGAGAGTGAAAAATTTGAGTTTTATGGGGCGGACATGTGTGCATAATGCCGATATGAATCGATAATATTGTTTTTTGAAATATGGTATCGATGCAAAACGAGGGAGGTGGTTTGGAGTTGGAGACTGGGGTCTATATATTGGCAGTCGTCTCCCACGCCTAACCACTATCATTCTCGTTGCGGTAGCCTTCGAGGACGGTACACGCTCCACGCGTCCTCACTCTTCTGGCGCTTTTGCTCGCGTGCGCTTCTCTCTTTTACCACCTCCTCCCTTATTTACCCACGTTCGTTCTACGTTTAGCACGTGCCACTATTGCCACTCTTGTTTATTAAACTATTACAACTGGTACAAAGGATTGTTAAAGAAAAATTTAAATAACTATGATAATTTCTCTTCCTGGAAATTTGGATCCTTAAATTTAGAGCGGAATAAAAATAGGAATTGAATTGAGCTCGAGAATGATACATCGATCTGGAGATGAATGAAAACTTCAATAAATCCAGTAAAAAACAACAAGATTCAATCGAATTGTCATGTAACAGAAAGTGAAAGAAATTCCGCGAATCAATCAAGAACTTTTCAGTGAATTTTCCCAGTTATTTATGCTCCGTTCAACCGTTTATTTATGATTTATAAAAAAAAAGTGACGTGAATTGACAGATGAAGAAATTGTGATCACGGAAATAATTGTATCATTGGCTTTCACGTCAATGGGTGACACTCGCGATTTCTCCCGTGCATCGCATATAATCAATTCTCTCGAGTTTACTCTGCTCCTTCAATGCCCGATTTATTATAACTAAACCTGTGTGTCCACAACGTTCCACTTCCTCGAGGGAAAATTTTTCCTCGGTAAAACGTGAAATGCGATCTGTGTTGTCATTGAATCGTAAGTTGTGAGTTTAATGTGAAGTGAAGATAGATGATTCTATCGAGTTGAGAAGATACTGGGGGAGTTTTATCATGGAAATAGCCTCTGGTGAGTTCTGTTCGTAGTAATTATGGACTTTCTATGTCAATAGCAATTTTTGAATACGATTTTTTTCGTCCGAAAACATAACGGGATTTAAAGTCATCGGTGTCATTCAGAAAAACCGGGAAAATGTTTTTTTTTAATGAAATTAATACTTTTCAAGACATCCTGGTAAGTACTGGGGCAAAACGGGTATCTATTTTCTGATGAACTCTAATGAAATGGGAAAGTCATGAATAGAGAAAATTGTTTTCAATTTTTTTTTCTTTATAACTTTACGATAACAGTAAACGTTATATTTCATCTCAGAACACCTCTGATATCACGCGAGTGAGACGTATAGAGCCATGGAATCACCAGGAGATCCACGATGCGATTTATCACAGCGTCAAGCTGAGAGGTACAGCTCTAGCTCCATCAGCCGGAAGTTACGATGTGGTATACCACCGTGTGGATTCAACAGTGGCTCGAGGTAAGTGGCCGCAATCTTCTGAATCTTCATATGAATTTTACTAACCCTTCGGTGAGAAAAATACCGCCGAGATCAGTTGAATACGCGAGATAAGAATAAAGTCTAGTTCTCAAACAGCAAAAAAATTGTTTTTCCATTGGGCGGTTACACTCATAAAATAATTCACTTTTAACTGCTCCAATAAATTGATAGTGTATCCATAAAATGTAATTTCCTACTGATAAAATCAGAGTGAAATAAACGCTCGATATTCAATTACGATGGAGAAGTTAATTAATTGAATCTAGGAAAAAATAAATCAGTAATTGAATTAACCGAGGCCAACCGGGGTACAATAGATGAATCAATCTCGTCGCGTATCCGAAAAAAAGGTTTCGAAAGGGGAATTGAAAAAAAAGTGTTGACCAACTCGTGCAATAGATAAAGCCACATAATAGGACGCGCTCTGACTCGCGTGACTCGTCGAATCGATGGATCTTCAGACCCCGAGAGTGGACTTATGGCTGTGGCACTTACAGCTCCGGTGGGATTCAATTTTGTTTTAATATATATATTTTTTTTATTACTGCTGTATTGAAGCCACGGATGAAGATTGGAAGCATGAATAAGTGACGGCATTTTTACTCATCACTTCTGCGTTATTTGAACTTTCAGCCAAAGAAAGACTTTCGACTCGAATGGAGCCAAATTTACACATTCGTTTTGCGGGGAATTTGTTTCGACCCTAAGTTTCCGGCTATTTTACAATGATTTTATTATTTAAACTTTGCAGGTCTGAATTTGAATCTCGAGATTGAATCGTTAGAAAACATTTTAAAAATCAGAAAAAAAATCAGAAAGTTTAATATTTTGAAACGGGCAATTTTTGAAAATTAGGAGCATTTTCTATAAATAATTTATGAACAATCAACTTTCCACCGTAAAAATCATTTGTTCGGAATCGTAATAATTCAGTGCAAAATGTAATTTGAATAACGCCGAATATTGATAATTTTTTTCAAATTTTTCTCACGCAATTTAATTGACAAATTTGATGATTGAAAATGGCTAAATCTATAGTGTTGTCTGTATCAGACTAAAAAATAGTTGGATATCCTTAAACAAATTTTTCCAACATTCCGGAAATTACCGAAAAGTGTTTCTTCAATCGCACCACTTGCAACATTCAACAGACAAATAACTCTGCATTAAACGAACAACCATATTGTTCATCATACTTCTGCAAAAAGAAACGTGTAAAAAACGTAAAATTGATAATCTTCAGAAGGGCAATGTGAACGAACCTAAGAGATGAAAACAAAGTTGTGTATTAAAAATAATATGAGGAATAAATAGATGAGAACGTGAGTATGAAGTGCATAACGATACAGATAATGAAACGTTGGGAGCCGATAGCCGTGGATAAACCGTGGCTTGTTGGCGGCAGCGTTGATGAATCTACGCCGGTGGCAAGCCATGAAAAGAGACTATGAGTCCTCTTTCGCCCCTTCC